GGGAGCAGTTGGGGGTTCGGTGCCTTGCTCAAGGGCACTTCAGTCATGGTATTGAAGGTGGAGAGAGTGCTGTACAGTATGGTACTTGGTGAAAGACCTAAATTCTTTGCAGTGTTGCATTGCGGAATGTGATTTTTGATTTGTTTGACACTTCTCTCGTGAAATTTGGCACAAAGTGATGAGCCATGATCCAGCTTTGCTTGCAAAGACTGAGATGCTCCTTTTATACTCAAACATGATACCTTGACCTATTACCAATTCACCTGCTTACTGTGAACTGTTTCAAAACAATTTAACGTGGATATTCTAAAGCTTTTGACTTTTATTTTGCCTCTGTCCCAACTTTTTTGGAATGTGTTGCAGTCGTCAAAAACTAAATTAGTTCATATTTACAAAATACATTTACGTTGGTCAGTGAAAACTTTGTGAATCGTTTCTTTGTACTTTTGTCAATTAAATAAAAGTTAAAGAGAATTAACAAATCGTAGATTCTTGATTTTATTGCATTTTACAAAACGTCCCAACTTCTCTGGAATTGGGGTTGTACATTTTGTTTATAATGTTTTTATACATTTTATATGTAAAATCTTGTAAAAAAAATAAATAAAATTTGGCTAGATATGTGATATTATATATTAATATAACTAATAATAATAATACGATCCCACTTTATATTAAGTGGCCCTAATACCTGTGTACTTACATAGTATCTAGATGTGTATGTAGTATGTAAACACAGTAAGTACGCATTGGTACATAGTATCTAGAGCTGTAATATTTCTTTCTTAATAACTACACACATGTAACAACCCTCCGAATGGTTTGTGTAAGTACATACTATGTACCAATGTGTACTTACACTGGGGTTACATATGTACACATCTAGTTACTATGTAAGTACACAGGTATTAGGGCCACTTAACATAAAGTGGGACCCAATAATATGTGTTTTTGTTTGTTTTATAGATATAGATATGTGAATATATCTGTAGACATAGCCTTGAGTTGGTTATTGCTATTATGAAATGGAAAACGTGAAATAAAGATGTCAATGTTCAATTACTACTACTACTACTAATAATAATAATAATAATATTTTTTCAATACTATACATTTTAGCTATATATATTTTTTTAAATATATTTATATGTATGTTTTATATAAAAAGGTTTTGTTTAAGGAGCACGTATTATGGAACACTTTTTTGAAGTAAGAGTCTGTTCATTACATAAAGTGTTGAGTCAATCATAACAAAGCATTTATGCATGTAATTCCTAAAGATACAAAAATAGCCAGTGTAATTCTCCGGGTCAGAGAAAGGGTGTAAAACATTTGTGTAAAACTAAATTTGACAGTTTTTGGTTGAACTTTGGTGGATCTGTGAAGAAAAATTAAATTGCTACAAAAGTCTAGAATATGGCCCCATTAATTTACATTCATTTGAAGAACGGCCAAAAAATCTTTACTATCCAAGCTCTGGCTTGAGTCAGCCATGCATAGCATCAGCTTTATGGAGCTCACAGCCACCAGATGCCCTCAGTCGTCTCTCTGGGGTTCTGTTCTGACATAAATCAAGGCAGATGGTCCATTTCTTTAAACATTACCCCTGCCCTCCATCTCTGTGGTTCTGGGAGTTCAGTGAGCAGAACAGAAGCGAGCGCCGCTGTGGCAGGAGGGCTCCGGGAGGGTCACTCGTTTCAGGCCGGAGATGACAGACTGGCATTGGGGTGGGGCGAGAGGAGCAACTAGCTGCTCTACATCATTTCTGACTGACTTATTCTTAATTATATGGTCATAGAGCAAGAAGAAAATTTCCACCTTACTGCGCCCACACACACATACTCTTACATTTTTTTTTCATGCTACATTGTCTCATTGTCTTTTGAACAGTTTAATTACCCTTATACACTCTCACAAAGAGAAGAGATATTCGGGCTGCTACTTTATCTGGAATCTCATATCTGAAAGATTTATTTTTTTGATTAATGAATGTCATTTCTTTTGTGTTTTTCTCTGCTCTGTCATTCCTGTTATTAAATCATTTTATCTATGCAATTCTCTTTTCAGAACTGCATTCCGCAGTATCATTTAGGACACTGGAAACGACTTGGTGAGTTTATTAATCACCCAAACTCATTCCACTATCCTTCCCTCGAGTCATGTAAATGAGGGACAGTTGTGTGTGCTGTTTCTTATTTTCAGAAAAGATGAGGCAATACATCAGCAACCACAATCTGCCCCTTACACTGGCGGGAGCTTCCTACGATGGTGTCTCTGTCAATGATGTTATATTTAGTGGGCGGACTGCAGCTGAGGGTCTCATTGGGAAAACATGACTTACTTACTTAGAATTTTGTCTGCTTTTATTGAAGATTTAGGGCTGTGTGATATGCATTTTGTGATTCCTGGGAAGGAATCACTAATATATGAACAACATGCTTTACTTGAACCCAGAATGGAAATCAAGAAGAGTACATCCAATTGTTTGGTGATGCACTATGTTTAAAAAAATCATTATTAGTGTAATTTGATATATCATGTTTTGTTTTCCATTAAAATCTAAATGTCCTTCAAAGAAGATACATTGACTTCAGAAATAAAACTGAAAGGTAATAAGAGTGAAAATATTTTGTAATTTATTGGCTTGACATTTTATTAAACATCCCTAAATTTCTTTTTTTTCAGTGAAAAATTAGTCACCAATAATTAACTTTACCAGTATTATCAGTTAATTGCAGCCAAATGATTGTAGAATTTGACTGTGCCCATGTGGTGCATGAATTAAATGTTTTCTTTTATGTTTGTCTGTGGTGAAATTGGAACTCTGGATGAGGAATATTATATATTTTCATCAAAGTTTGACATCTTGGGCTGTGAAATTGTCAATTGCTACTGGTATCTCACCAGAACTCACTCTTGCATTAGGAAAGGTTACTCTGACCTTCATTCACATTACCTCAGCACCTATCAAAAATGGCTAGGGGTAGACTCAGATTTTTGAAATAGTATATTTTCAACCGTTTCCTCCATTTGTCTGAAAGAAGATGCTGGTTTTCAGGTGTTTTGACTAGGCTGAGATGAAGTGCCATTAGATCAGGCTGCACTAAAAAACATTTTGCACTGAAAATTTCACACCATTACACTGAAGTGGTTTCAATGGCAAATTTACAACTTATATTTTGCATTTGAGCCAAGCAGCAGATTGGTAATGGCTGTGACCGTCTGTATTGTCATTGACTTTTTTTGAAAGTTTACTATTACTCAGAGAACCAGACCTTTAATTGGTGCTTGAGAGCCATTTGTTTCACACACAGATGCTTTGCAAAGCATTTCTCTTAATGTGTCACGCAGCTTCAATTTGTGATGATGTTTTATAACAGAAATGCACAGGTGTGCCTTTTTGCCTTTTACATGCAGTAATTGTGAGACATCAGTGAATGCAATTTTATATTGCGTTGTTACATTATGGATCCACTAGCAATGGAGACTGATTGTGCTGTTTTCGGCCTTAGGTGCTTATGGTGAATGTGACTTTTTGTATAGTATGTAACTCAGCAATAATTCCATGAAAGATTTTTTTCTGACAACCGCTTAATAAATGATCATGTGTTTTTGTGTGATTGTCTCAGAGCAATGGCTCTTTGAGTATGATAAATAAATGAGATGTGTTTGGTTTGTTGTGTGTAATGTGGTTAAATTCTTTAATAACTTCTATCCATTAATGAACAGACAGTACATTCAACTAGGAGTGCCTGTACAGTTTAAAGCAAAAAAGCCTGCAGCTAAACAGGAGTTAACATTAATAAAACAGAACATAAATGAAATATTTAATGTGCAAATTACACAAGCCCACCCCCTGAAACCATTATCTGACAAATGGCAAATTCACCTTGAAAAATTATTGTTTGCAATGACATGCTTCTGTTGTTTTCACCTCTGGGTCTGTTGACAGCTCAGTTAGAAAGTTATTTGACAGAAAGCACACCGTCAAACACAGACAAAGAAAGCTGCGCCTGCCAGCAACCTTGAAATGTATTGTTCCTCATTGGTTTCGTAATTCGCACATTTGAAGTGATTTCCTGTCCTGTCTGGCTCACACCGCTGCAATTTTGAACATCAATACTTGTTGAAGAGAGGTGTGTTATTACTTTTTCGATTGGATTTACGATAAATAGTGCAAAGAATCCCATAGATTTATATTGTAGAACCCAAGCCTTTTGCAGAACCAGAATACCACCTAGCAACTGCATAGCAACGTGCCAAAAACACTCGATTCACCAGCAATGAGTTTTGCATGGTCAAACACTATGTTTGAAATGTAAAATCTGATTAATTTTTCTTAGGGGTGTTATGGTACACAAACATAATGAGTCCAAACTATTACATTTGCTTTTTATTTTTTGATACATTTACATTTAATCATTTAGCAGACGCTTTTATCCAAAGCGACTTACAAATGAGAACAATAGAAGCAATCAGACCAACGAGAGAACAACAGTATACAAGTGCCATAACAAGTCTCAGTTAGTCTAGCACAGTACACGTAGCTAGTTTTTTATTTTTTATTATTATTAAATAATAGAATGGAATAGAATAGGTAAGTGCTAGTATTAGTTGGTCAGGTGCTGGCGAAAAAGATGTGTCTTTAGATGTTTTTTGAAAATGGCTAAAGACTTTGGGATGGCACCACAAGGCGCCGTTCACTTGCAGAACGCAAGCTTCTGGAGGGCGCATAAGTTTGAACTAGCGAGTTTAGGTATATTGGTGCAGCGCCAGTGGTGGTCTTGTAGGCAAGCATCAGTACCTTGAATTTGATGCGAGCGGCTACTGGTAGACAGTGTAACCTGATGAGGAGAGGAGTAATGTGAGCTTTTTTTGGCTCATTGAAGACCACTCTCGCTGCTGCATTCTGGATCAGTTGCAGAGGCTTGATAGTGCATGCGGGAAGGCCCGCCAAGAGAGCATTACAATAGTCCAGTCTGGAGAGAACAAGAGCTTGGACAAGAAGTTGTGTAGTAGTGTAGTCTGTATAGAGCAGCTGTGATGAAACGATGGGTTTGCTGGAACCACAAGCAGTTCTGTCTTAGTAAGGTTGAGTTGAAGGTGATGGTCCTTCATCCAGCTAGAAATATCTCTCAGGCTGCAATGTGAGCAGCTACCGTCGGATCATCTGGTTGGAATGAGAAGTAGATTTGAGTGTCATCAGCATAGCAGTGATAAGAAAAGCCATGCTTCTGAATGACAGGTCCTAATGACGACATGTAGATGGAGAAGAGGAATGGTCCAAGCACTGAGCCTTGAGGAACCCCAGTAGCAAGAAGTTGTGACTTAGAAACCTCACCCTCCAAGACACCCTGAAGGACCTACCTGAGAGGTAAGACTTGAACCACAGGAGTGCGGTTCCTGAGATGCCCATCTTTCTGAGGGTGGACAGGAGGATCTGGTGGTTAACTGTGTCAAAAGCAGCAGACAGATCCAGCAAGATGAGTACTGAGGATTTGGAAGCTGCTCTTGCCAGTTCAGGGCTTCAGTAACCGAGAGCAGGGCAGTCTCAGTTGAGTGGCCGCTTTTGAAGCCAGATTATATAGCCTAATAATCACTCAAATTTAAAAAATTGTATGTAAACATGTAAATTGCACATAAGGCGGATTTACTATTATTTTCTAAATCTAATCATAAAATTTATATTAGTTGTTGAACATACATTAAATAATAAAGGCATCACAAACAGATTAAGTAATTGAATGAATATGCTAATATTTAGTGAAATGCTCCTTCTCAAGTTCATTTCTCTAGTGAACTAACGAGTTGCAGACACCGAATGACTTGACTGAGGTAAATGTAAGTAACGTGGCATTTTGTTTACAAGCTGTTTTACTGACATATTTCTGTGGTTGAAACTCTTAAATGAGCGATTACATGAGACATGAGATGTTCATTCATGTTTATTTCCTGTAGTATTAATGAGGAACATTATTGTGTTCACTCACGCTCTGCGCTGCCATTTGAACTGAGGCGTAGTGATGTGTCGTTCGTGAACGAGCCGGCTGGCCGATTCTTTGTAGCGAATGAGAAGAGCCGACTCCCGTCAGGGAGAGCGGAATCTTCAGGACTCAGGTTGTGAGTCCTGAAAATTTACAGGTGTGAGTTCGGATACAGAATGCGGTTGTCACACCCATAAATAACCGAACTGTGTGTGAACGTAACCGTATTAAGGACTCGCTGTGTGAACGTGGCCCTAGATCATGAAAGTCCTTGTTGTATATGTGGAGAGCTAAGCCAGTGATCCACATATCTGCAGTTCTGTTATTTATCATTGTTATATTTCATGCCCACCCTTCCCATAAGTGCCTTAATTTAAATAATAAAAAAGGACAGCATATGGTTATGTCTAAAACGTTGGGGAAAAGGAAACATATGGCTGTAAAAGAGAATATGGAACAGCATGAAAGAGACACATTGGCATTGCTAGACAGTCATTTGATGTGTGAAGGAATCTCTTTTAAAATTCCCCGTGGAGCGGTTGGCAGCCGTCTTCTGCTGAACTCCTGACAGAATCAGCATTGTTAAGATGCCTGGCATCAGTTTTGCTGTGAGATGTTTTGTCCCTCTATTTCTGGGCCACTTAAGACAATTTTATCCTGGTTTGTTTATTCAGCTTGAAGCATGCAAAACAGATGCAGAATGTACCGATACTTAGCCTATACTAAAATATTCTCTTGGTCAATTTCAGCATATTTTTGAACAAAAATTTTGTATGATGATGACTACTAAACTGTATAATTGACTGGCATCTCAGGCAGCTGTTAATTTCATAGATTGCTGTTTTTGATGTAGGCTATCTCACAATTGTAATTTGTTTCTCATAATTCTGACTTAATATGATCTTAATATCCTCCAGTGGGGCTTTATAATTCATAATGTTGGCTTTATATCTCCCTGTTTGAGATTAAATATTACAAATGCTCTCTTATTTCTCATAATTGCGATTCTTATATCTCTGACTTTATATCTAACAAATTTGACTTTTTTTGATCATAACTTTATTTCTTGATATATTTCAGAATGAGTTAATTTCTTAATGTACACTTTGTTTTGAGGTAGAAATGGGCTTCCATATCTCTCATTCTTGTGAAATAAATGATTTCAACTCAAATCTATATGTTGTGCCTATTTGTTTATTGGCTGTGTACTTTAGCATGTTGCTATAAGGACTACAACGGTTGTCCAATTCATCAGTTGCATAAAATGCTGTTCTAAATGTTCAATATTGCTGATAAACCATGCACCAAATCATCATATTTGAATGATTTCTGAAAATCACGTGACACTTAAGACTGGAGTAATGTAAAATAGATTAAAAATAGAAAACAGTTGTTTAAAATTGTAATCAGATCACATGATTATTGCATTTACTGCATCAAATAAATGCAGACTTGGTAAACATAAGAAATTTTGTTCACGCACAAAAATCTCTCCAACCCCAAACTTTTAAAAGGTAATGTACTTGTAGTTGTGTTCATGTATCAGCTTATGTCTTTTTAAAAAACAATGGCTTCAAAAATTCACATTAGAGGTTTGACTGTGTGTGTAACTTTTGAAGACCTATTCAAAT